GCTAGAGCTGGCACTGGTGCTGGAGACTCGCATGCTGGGGAAGGAGCTACCTGGCTACAGCTTCCCACTGGCCCAGTGCAGAGCAGCAGGAAGAAGAAAGGAACCACTGGAGCAGCCCTGCTGGGAGAAGGAGCAGCCCCACTGGGAAGCTGTATGAACTGGCTGGGGCTGGTGTTGTCAGTGACCATGGGGCAGGTGCACAAGAGAGCGCAGCATGGTGTGAGCTGCCCCTGGTGGGAATGGATGGGCTCAGCCCCATGCGGAGTGCTGTGGGGAGAACTGTGGGCTAGAGTCAATCAATTGGGCTGCCTTCGGTCCACGGGCCGTACTTTGTCCATCGCTGCCATAGATTGTAGTTTAGGAAGGGGCCATGTACTTCAACTCCTGCACAGCAGAAGGTATTGCATCTAAACCAGCCAAGACAGATGCTACCCAGCCTCTTTTTAAGAAAACCTCCCATAAAAAGATGCTACAGTGTCCCTAGGCAGTTTGTACTACATGTATTTTTATTAATTTGTTCCTGTTTTCCTAGGCAGACAAGGTTTTTTGGGTAGATGTGATATTGTATATTAGACCAACTAAACAATTGGAAAAATTGTTCTTTGCAAGCTTTTGGTTACAAACACCCTTCTTCAGGCACGAGGAGAGTCTGTTGGTGTTTGTGTGTTCTCCTGTTTGGAATAGAAGGAAACATGCAAAAATGCAGGTATGTGAAAATGCAAATGCATGACAGTGAGGGTTTGACTCAAAAAATAAAAATCAGTGCCTATAAGAGGGAGGACTGATCATAGTATCATAGTGCTTAGGGTCGGAAGGGACCTAAACAGATCACCAGGTTCAACCCCCTTCCCCAGGCAGGAACGGGTGCCGGGGTCATATCACCCCAGTCAAATATCTGTCCAGCCTCCTCTTGAAGACCCCTAAGGTAGGAGAGAGTACCACTTCACTTGGGAGCCCATTCCAGAGCCTGGCAGCCCTAACTGTATAGTAATGTCTCCTGATGTCCAGCCTGAACCTTCTCTCTAACAATTTGTAGCTATTATTCCTAGTAACCCCAGGTGGTGCCCGGGGGAACAGAGCCTCCCCCAATTCCTACTGGTCCCTCCTGGTGAGTTTGTAAATGGCCACCAGGTCCCCTCTCAGCCTTCTCTTGTGGAGACTGAATAGGTTCAGGCCCTTGAGCCTCTCTTCATAGGGCCTGCCCCACTGCCCCATGACCGTGCGAGTGGCCCTCCTCTGGACCCTCTCAATGCTAGCCACATCCCTCTTGAAGTGTGGCGCCCAGAATGCTGTCTGATGATAAATGCTATCTGTGTTCCAATTCCTTTACCCCTCTGGCTGCATTCTCATAGTCTCTTCCAAGATGCTGAGGATTATATTAGACAGTATCATTAGTGCCAACATGGATGAACAGGAAAGGGACATTGTCAGAGGAGCTGATGAGTCTCAACAACCTCTCTACAAAATGTCCTGAATTTTGGCTATGGGCAAGCAGCACACCATATTTTCTCGTATAACACATGCACCCTGTTTTTTTGGAAGGCAGAATGTATAGAAAAACAGCTTTCCACTGTCATACCAGAGAGCTGACTGAATGTAGTACTGTGCTTGACCTCAGCAAATATGTCTGTTCAGGCAAATTCTGTTGTGGAGACAGGGCAGTAAAAATAGGGTGCAAACAACTCTTAGCCAAATCAAGGGCACTCACCACAACTCACAACCCATCAAGTCCATGAGTTTGCAGTACTGCTTATACTACAGAAGAGCCACGTTTTTGTGCGGGCCGGGAGCGGTCCGAGGCCCTTGGGGGCCTGTGCGCGGCGGGCTGTGGCCAGCAGCCCGGACACGCCGGGTCGGGGAATGCAGGCCGGCGGGCTAGAATTAGGCACAGACGCTTAGCGGTTGAGTAAAGATTATTTTACTTACACAGAAGATGGTCGCGGTGCAGGCAGGAAAACTTGCTTGAGTTGCAGTTACAAAACAAAACAAAACTCGAACCTGCAGGGCACGAGAGTACGTCGCAATGGGTTTTCGGCGACGGAAAGATAAACCTGCAGGACTCGAACCCGGGCAGAGCTCTGGATACACTCACATGAAGTTTGCTAGGCTCCGTGGAACTTGCGCGCAGGGAAGGGGTTCGGTGAGGGATCGTTCGGCGACGGGGAGAGGCCAGAGGTTGATCAGACCCCTATAGCCTGCGCTGGGTTCGATAGGCTCCGCAGCGCTTAGAGATCTTCACAAGACGTGAAGTTCTCCTCCTCCAGATGGTTATGGAGTCCTCTCTTGCTGGGGTTCTCCTCGGAGTTCTCCAACTTGGGCGGAAACCGCTCAAGCCTCTTATACGGCTAGCAAGCCAATCACTAGCCGCCATGTGGGAATAATTTAGAACTGGCCAATAGTGGGACACAAATTTGCATGCGGGTGGCGGGAACTCCTTTGCACCGTGCATTTCTCTTTGCAACTAAGAAATGCACCCTGCAAAGAAAGCTCCTAGTGGCGGGAAATAATTTAGCAGTGCCGAAGCGCGCACAAACAAAATCCCACCCTTGGGTTGTGACAGTTTTAAGGCATGACTTAATGGTAGTGGCTTTATAGACTGCATCTGGGATCCTTTCACTGGTAAGGAGGGGCAGCCACTGCAACCCTTTTCACTGGTAAGGAGGGGCAACCCTTTTCACAGCCACTGCCAAATGGGCAACAGCTCTTGGCTGCTCAGCCAAAAGCTGTTGCCAGTTCAACACCAACACTGAAAGGATGAACACTGGACTCCACCTTTGCTGCTTGCTGGCCCAGAGAACAGTAGTAGCCATTACAGCTCAGCATCTTCATGCTTCTATTCCTCTATGCTTCTATTACAGTGAAGAAAATTAGCTTCCCACTATTTGAGGGCTGATTTTTAGGAAAATAGTACATGTGGCATGCAAGTATTGTATTTACCCAAATCCAAGATGACCCTGAATTTAAAATAACTAACTTCTACACGTGGAAAATGTATACATTGTTATAATTTTTCATGTATAGAATCTAATTATTGGAGAATTGTCTTAAATTCATCCCCATTGCCAGTGCAGTGGGGAAAGCAATGATACAGGGAGGCAGTGGGGAGGGCAGGCAGCTTGCCTCTTGCCACCTGTCCCCCCCCACTTATCCCTTCCTTGTGTTTTCCCCCATCTCTGCACCTTCACACTTTGGCTCTTCCCCTACCTGCCTTTCCCCATTTCCCCCACACCTCCTCCCATGCTGGAGCCAGCAGCTTTGGGTCCCTTCCCCTTTTTCCCCCTGTCTTCTCCCCACTGCTTACCCTTGCTCCAGCACTGGCAGGCTCAATCCCTGATCCAGCCTGGGGCGTGGAGCATAGCCTAGATGTGCACCAGCAGTGCAAAGCCAGCACGTTTGCTACAGGGCTGGGTTGGGGCTGTGCTCCATGATCTGAGCTGGAGCAAGGGTGCAGCCTGTTGGCACTGAAGCAAAGGTAAGCAAGTGGTATGAGGAGGAGTGCAGGGGAACAGAGGCTGCGGCATGGGGGTGGGAGAAGAGAGGAAGGGAGTTAGAAGAGGAGACAAGGCAGGGGAGCGGGGGCCTGAGGCTCCAGGGGGAGAGACATGGGGTGCAGAGGTGGTTGGGGGGCAGGCAGCAACTGCAGTTCCAGCTCCTACCTGGGGCTGGGGCCAGAGCCTGGGCCACAGCAGCTGGATTAGGGGGTTTTCCCCCATGTTGAATTGGGGGAAGTGGAGGGAACTAATCTTGGAATTGAATAAATACAGTAAACATAGTAGGTCTCAGTAGTCAGGTCAAGCCAACCATTAGGTACTTTTTTTTTAAGTAGTTCTCAAGCATGCCCCCTTCCCCCAGTTCTTTTCTTGGGTATGGTGGTCATGACCTTCTTATTCCTGGGGAATATGCGACTCCTTCGAACTGATGCCATCCTCTGCTGTTACCCAAGATGCTGTCTGCAGTACCAGTACTGAGAACCAGAAAGCAATTATTCATCCCTTTGTGTATGGGGTGTTTTGTGATTCACTTTCTGGGGGTCAGAAATTCTCTTATTCTCCAGCCAGCTTTAGTGCTTTCTCTCCTTGTATCTGGGGCAAAATCTTTTGGCTTGTGGATGTCTTTGCTTTTCTGATACTATGAAACATAGGTCGTTGTACCTCTAGACACTGGACATTTTCCTCCAGTATGGCCACTGGCTTGTATTTAGCACACCAGCACATGCAGGAAGGCTGCTCCGACATGCTGTAAATCGAGTCTGTCAGAGCAGACTCAATTAATCAAGTCTGCTGGAGTGTAGAAATTAACATGCTCCAGCATCACGAGTATCAGTGTCCAGTGCTGAAAAATGGCAGCAGGACACTTTGAACTAAATCTTGTTGGACAAGCTTTTAGTTCAAAGCACCACCCTGCCGTTTTTTCAGCACAGGGACACTGATGCACATGATGCTCGGGTGCTTTTAATTAATGTGGCTTGCTAATTAAAGCACCTCCTGCAGCGTCCCCAAGCACATCTGGAAATGCCCCAGAAGTCTTAGTATTCAGGGAGGAGTACAAACAGCATATACCCTGTGGGTTCCAACAACTGATTTCTTCTTGGCCAGACTCACCTCTCTGTGCACCCTCAAGAAGTGGAAGCTATTTCCCTACTCCCATTTTTAAAAAATAAAATAAGTCCTTCCTGGGTCCCTTTTCAGGGGAACTCATAGGCAATCTCCTTCCTTGCTGTTTGCTGCTTATTCTGTTCACAAGTGGCTGTCTTGATTTTTAATGTAAGTCAGCTGTACCTGATGTTTTTGGCAAGCTATGGCCCAGTCACCATAGAACAGAGAACGTAATGGACTTATCAGGGTGTCGGACCTGATGATCTGTTTAGGACCCTTCCGACCCTAAGTACTATGATACTATGAATAACAGCTGCTTTTGTGGGATTTTTTTTGTGTGTGGTGCTTCTTGTTTGTTTGCTTGATGCTATGGGCAAGAATTAAAAACAAACAATCTTTGTGCAGAAACAGTGAGGCTCGTTTAGTACTGGAGACCTGGGGGCTGCAGCTCGGGTGCCAAATTTCCCTGACTGGCCGCATTGTCCCAACTGAAAAAATCCTGATGCAGGGGGAGATGGTGAGTACCGAACCTTGAATTCCACTCGAAATTCCATACTCAAATCTCTTCACTCGAGGTCTGTCTGTTTGCCATTGGGTAAGCACCAGCAGATCCAAGGCTGGGGAACTTCAGGGAAAAAGTTTACCCCTAGAAAGCTCAACTTTTTCCTGCCGCATCCTGCCTAAAGACTTGGGTACCTATAGCCTGCCTTCATTTTAGAACTACAAGGGTTGGCTCAGCAGCCTAGGATTGAATGTACAGAAATGGGTACTCGTTATTTTACCATTTGTAGCTGGACGTTTTCTGTAAGCCTTTATGCACTGTCGTCTTGGGTACAGAAAATTCCTTTCTTCATAAGTTGTTTAACCATAGTTGATCTGCTCAGTCACCATTAACACCTTTGACATGAGGGAACTGAGCCAGCTCTGAGGCATCTTTTTGTAAAATTGTACATTTTTAAAAACAGCTTTTTGCAGGATGCCCCAGCTCCCACTGAAAACACTTGCATCTTTATATTAGTGGTGAACCCAAAGCCAGTTTGGTCCGGATGTCAAGTTGGCAGTCTTCCAGGGACTTTGGGTTGGAGGGAAGATGCCTCCCAGGCAAAAGGTGGAATCAGCTCAGCTGTAGAAATAATTTAATATGATGCCTTAAGATCAAATCCCAAAATTGGAGGTTCCCTGAAGGGGAAAACCTTGAAATTTCATACATCTACTGACCTTCCTACAGAAACAAGCTTTCTTCTCCTGTCCTGGTCCAGGCTCCCCCATTATTACTACAGACTTGTCAGCTTTCCCTGCTTGGTCCTAGGACAGAACTTGTTTCTAATTCTGTTTCAATTAAAAATTCTTGTTGAGGGTTTTACCTGGTTGTTTTTATAGTTTTCTTTTGTTCTGGGTAATAATGATTATGTAAAAAAACTGTAAGAAATTTTGTATGACTGTTTATGAAATACATTGTACGAATGTCACCCACTTACTCCTTGTTCCAGGCATATGTGTCATCAGGTCTGCTGTTTATGATGTTTGTTACAGAAGGTACCCCCTGCAGGTGGGGTGAATTTCCCACTTGCCTGCAGGCTCATCCCAGATCCCAGCTTGCAACTTTTCACACTCAGATTTGATTATTATTTCCAGGTTGGGTCTGTGGAGCAAGGTCAATATATATTCAAGCTAATAAAATGTTCCCAGTACAAGGAAATGAAGAGTTTGATTTCACACTTTGGTTAAACCCTATAAAAATGCTGCTATATTCCCTTTGCAGACTACTAAAATGTGCCTGTCTAGAGAATGACAAGGTGCAGACACTTGACATGTTTACACTATTGTAATCTGCCTTTACACCAGCACAAATGGGTAGTTGGCATAAGACATATAGCCAACACCAGTGTAAAATCATACTGGGGTAAAGTTACCCCAGAGTTAGGACTAACTGGAATACCATAGTATAAGTTACTTGTGTATGGCTCCTGTATCTGCAACTCTATTCAGTTACATCTCAGTGTAGTCTTTTGCTCAGCTCAAGCATACAGTGACTTGCTTCTCCAAAACCTTGTGGTGAAACATTGTAATTGTGCTTGCTGTGGGCAGCTACCTTGTCTGGTCATCTGACTGCTCTGGATAGCTGTCTGCTTTGGACATCAGTGTACAAACCAGCACAGGTCACACCAGTGTAAAGATGTGTTACATGTCTGCACCCTTCAGCTTGATGCAAAAATAGGAAGATGATGCATAAATACCGTATTTTTTCACATACCTTCCCCCCCCAGGTAAAACACACTTGTTTTTGTGAATGCGGGGGGGGGGAAGGATTTTTCCAAAGTTATGGCTGCACAGAGCAAGGGCAGAGCCTAATCTTCAGCTCTCACTCACTCTCCCTTTTCTGTTGAAACAACAGCTGTAATCCTAGCTCCTGTTGAAGACTGGTCTCCATGAGCGGATCTGTGATTTTGAAAAGAGCTAAAATAGTCTGTAAGACTGTGAAAGAGGTAACTAGAATGCAGACTTAGCTAAGTAGACAGAAAAATTGCTAGAAGGAAGCTTAGCTTAATTAGTGGAACATCAGGACTATTAAAAAGGAGAAATGGTTGTCAACACCCATGACATGAAGAACAATGAGCCATTAAGTCAATTGACTCCCTTAGCTGTTTGAATAGAAATGCCACGGCTTCTTCCTGTTGACGTAGGAATCAAAGTGGGATGCTTCTATTATGAACAGAAAACCAACTTCTCTGCTTAAGTTGTGTGTCCCAATTTGCAGGGACTGATTTTTGCTTAAAAGGTGCATGTGTATGTTAGTAAATATGGTATTTTCTGTTTGCTTATGAAGGACCCTCTTTTGAATAGATTATTTCCTTTTAATTACTAAATTATATTTTTTTCCTTTGCCAGTGTCTGCCAATGAGTGCTAGTGATTGGTCAAAGGATTTGCGTAACATGAAGATGCTTGGAGTACCGTCTCTGGACACCTGGTTAATAGTGTGCAGTAACAGAAATGCAGAAGTAATGAAGAATCTTCTGAATTGCCTGAGAAGAGTTGGTGGTCCCATGGGGTTTCGCATTGAATATCCCAAAATGTGAGATTTTTCACACACTAATTTACATTTGCTTTTCGTCATTCATCGGTCTTATTATTACCAGTAGTAATAGCAGTGACACCTTGCATGTATGTACCACGTACATATGTTACACCCCAGTCCTTCGCAGATCTAACAAACAAATGATGCAGCTGTGAAAAATGAATAATGGCAGCACAAGTCACTCACTTCTCCCTCTAGCATTACTATGCTTTCTTTCACACTGCCCCTCCTTACCAGTGAAAGGATCCCAGATGCAGTCTATAAAGCCACTACAATCAAGTCATGCCTTAACTTGGCTTTTCTGTAATATAAGCTGCAAACTCATGGACTAGATGGGTTGTGAGTTGTTGTGCTTGCCTTTGATTCGGCTAGGAGTTGCTTACATCCTATTTTTACTGCCCTGTATCCACCAACCAGGCCTGTTAGTTTCTCATACTTACCTCTTTTGAGCCCTTTTAGATCTTAAGCTCTTTGGGACAGTAACAGTTATTTACTTTATGTTTATACAATCCCTCACATAATGCAGTCCCATCTCTGTTTGGCTTCTAGGCACTACTATAACATATATGTCAAATAATAGTAAGAGCAATAATAAATTGGTAGACTCCATAGGTGAACAAATATACACAGTGAAGTGTATATTCTAAAGGAGAAATTGAATCTAAAAAATAAGGAATATTTCCATCACTTCTGAGACATAATGGAGCAGCTTTTTAAAAATATATAGCAACGCTGTATGATGGAGGTTTAGGGCAGAGGAGTGAAAAGAAAAGTATTTTCCATTTGAAAGTAGAAGAGTAATTTAGGGAGACAGATAACCATTCAAAGTCAATAGAAGGGTGCAAGACTTAGCTTAAAATCTCTACAAAAGATTTCTATGGCTTCATTCATCTACCATAAACAGAGAAACAAAGGTTAAACTTGAAGCTTTACTAAAAGCTGAATTTTAAAGGATGCAGCTTTCAGCAAACAGCTTATCTCATGGGTCAGACCATTTCTTTATTAGTTCTTTGTTGAGAAGGTAAAAATAACATTTTGGAGTCTCCCAACTTCTGAGGATCAGAAATACTATATTTGCTCCCATACCACATGCATTGTTTTCCCCCAAAATTAGCCTTCCAAAATTGAGGTGCATGTCTTAAGTGGGGAAGCTGATTTTTCTGCCCAGAATAGCAGTGGTGGCATTTCTGTTCAGGCAGCGCTGAGGAAGAAAATTGACTTAATGGAGTATTAGAATCTACTGGATCCTGTTAATTGTTCTTCACTCAGTAGGTATTAATGACTCATTCTCAGTCTTGGTGGTCTTGATGTTCCACTAATCAAAGTATCCTTTTTAAAGTCATTTTGCTGAAGAATTTACAGTTTAGATGCACCTGGTCTTACTCTTCCTGTTTCACAGCCCCACAGGCTGTTTTTAGCTGTTTTTGAAATACTAGACCTGCCCATAGAATCCAGTCTTCAGCAGCAGCTCCAGCTTCAGCTTTTGGTAGAGCAACTAAGAGCTGCTGGCAGTTCAAGATCAGAAACTGTGAAAGGGTTAAAACACAGTAACTTGTGCCTGAGCAGGAAAGGGAGGGTGAGTGAGCTGAAGGCTCTGTTCCTGCCATGTGCAGAAGGCAGGAAAAATTTGTACCTTATTCCCTGCCTTCTGCTTGACTAACACAGCCAGCTACCTCTCCCTGCTGTATGCAGCCATAATTTCAAACAACAGGTGCCTGTCTTATTTGAGAGCATGTGGTATGTGAGAAAATAAGGTATGCTGATCTAACTTTTCCAGTGGTCTTGGGCTGTGTTCTCTTCTACTTCAAGGTCTGCTTAGCCCTAGATAGCAAGACTCTGTCGTAGAAGCACAGGTCAGTCCTAGAGTCTTTGCTCAGTGCTGTTCCAGCTCTTTAACAGGTTCAATCAGGTTAGGTGCTACTCTAATCTATGCTAGCTGGAAGCCATTTCTCAGGAAATGTCCAACACTGAGAAGCACCAAAATGTGCCCATGCACTGGCCATTCCTCCAGCCTTCCTCCTTCCATCCCTCAGCATGATGGTCTGGTAACATGGAAGAGAGCTGGGCCAGTTTTGTTCCAGTTATGAGTCCTCTGCTTCTGGAGAAAGTCTTTGCTGGAGGCTGCAAAAGAGTTTTGGAGTGCAAACTGTGCAGTTCTCCTAAAATGTTGTTTTATTTAATTACTTCCTGGAGCAGCTTGGTCTTTTATTTGGAGCACTGTATCTAATGAGTTATTTCCCTCGTTTCTTTGTATTTTTCCCTAGTTTGTTTGTATTTGTTTACTTTTCTTCTCTTGATGTATAATTAACTCCCATTACATATGATGTAGTTATGCACACTGAGCACCTCTTGACAGTTAAATTATAAGGAGATTAGATCTCGTGTTGCATTGTCAAAACTATTCCTTCAGGAGGCTGAGTCCATGATGCGATGAGTGAATCCATGAAGTACCAAATGCATTTTTGAGTGGCTTCTTGACACCTAGATTTGTAAGGGAAATTACTGTAATCACTAGTGAGCCTTGGTTGCAGCACATGCTGCTGCTACTGCTGCTACAGTACATTCACATTCTTAGTGACAGCCACAGCGCTAGTGGTAGGACCCACACTTTCCTGGATCCCACTCTTATATTTGCTGTTCCTTTTTTGACCTCTCTCTCCATATTAGTTTAATAATAAGCCCCTGTTTTGATGCCAAGATAGTTGAAGCATGTGTCCCTACCGCAGGATCAGATATTTGGGGAAGGCCCATCCCTAGCTTAGAACCTCAGACAGGATTGGTGGGCAAATGTATGCAGATAAAGAGAGAACAATCTCTAGCTTTAATGCCGTGGTAGTAGTGTTGTCACAGCAAGTTCATGGGCTACATACAGCAGTTCTGTAGGATCAGCTGTTAGTGCTGCTGCAGTGGTTCACTTGTTATGGCACCGGTTTCTTTCTTAAAGGAATGTGTCACAAAGAGAACTATGATGTTAATGAAGATGCAGCTGCCTTCCAGCCAGCAGATGGACTGCTGGGGCTCATCTCCACATGCAGGAGCATGCCCCTGCATGTGGGGTTTGGTTTGGGGTAAAATGCCCCACCTTGGGGAAACAGCTATTTCCCCATACCTACTGGTTCCTGGCATGCTGGAGGAGCCAGGGAACACCTAAAAGCAGTGAAGAGGTTCTAGCCAGCAGTCAGAGCATCTCCCTGGAGGACCCAGCCTCCAGTTCCTCTGTGCACACTCCTGGACTGTGTACCATGCTGCTTTTTTGTGGCAGGTTTTTGTTGTTTATTTTATACCGAGAGTTCTTAGTATCAAATTTTGGTGCTGCACTGCAAATATGTAGCGTGGAAAACAGTTGCACGTACACTGTGTGTGGTTTGCAGCACCTCAGACAGGTTTGAGGCACTGTAAACTGCACATGTGTGCTCATCTAGACTGGGATAGGCAAAATGCAGCCCACGGGCTGGATGCGGCCCACCAGGTTCCTCTATCCGGCCTGCCAGGCCCCTAAAAAATTTAGAAAATTAATATTTATCTACCCATGGCTGCCTGTCATGTGGCCCTCGATGGCTTACCAAAACTCAGTAAGTGGCCCTCCACCTGAAATAATTGTCCGCCCCGATCTAGACGCATCCTTAAGTATTAAATGCAGTAGAAGAATTGTAGTGTCCCTGGGTGCTGGCAGATTCAGAACCAGACCAATATGACTAAACTTTTGAGTCTGCCTAGAGAATATTTATGAAGATGTGCAGTGGATTGGTCTTTGCAGAGTTAGTGCATGTCTAAATGTATATACTGTTTTTGCTTTCAGACTGCACGTACAAGAAAGTACCCTGGCCTTCCTGAGGGCATTGCAGCAGCACGTGACTCCTGAAGTACAGCTGGTACGTACATGCTTCTCTGGCTTGTCTGGTGGTGCCTTTCATCAGGATAGATCTTAGGCTTTATAAATTTTTCTTATTTGTAGGGAAGATCATGTATCATTAAACAGGGCAAACATATCAAAGCATAATTAGAGACAGCTATAGAAGCCCAGCAAAGCAGAGCTCTTCATTCTCTTTTCCCCTTTCATTTAGGTGATGTGTGTGTTGCCTTCTAATCAGAAGGACTGCTACGACTCGATTAAGAAGTTCTTGATCCTTGACCGACCTGTCCCGAGCCAGTGTGTATTAGCATGCACCCTAACTAAGCCGGGTATGATGATGAGTGTTGCCACAAAAATTGCTATGCAGATTATTTGTAAACTCGGAGGAGAACTGTGGGCAGTAGAGATCCCTGTAAGTAGTTATTTTAAAGCATTCATTTTTATCACGGCAGATTTTGCTCAAGCAGTCTTTAGTGCATCTTAAAGCCAAGTGATCTTTGGTATGTCTTAAATGTTTAACTCTAACTGAAGTTGATTTAATCCAACATGAGTTATGCTTCTTTGGCATTCTTCAATCTGAATGCCTCCAAACACTTTAGATATATAATACTGTACATGAATAGTTGCTTCCTATTGTGATGGAGAGTCACACATATTGGGGTTCTGTGTTGGTGATGTGGGAGATCTAGGCCTGATGTGATGATTTAAGAAATGAACACCGTACTTATGTTTTTAAACCTGGCACCATGATTTTCACTTTACAGTAAGTTTATAGGAATACTTAGAAATATGCATGCTGTTTGTTTACAAAGGAAATTAATAAAGGGTTTGATGACAAAGGTTTTACAAAATGCACGCATTTTTATAAAGGTTTAAGTAGATGAATGTGAATACCAACATCTGATGAGCTTCTCTTTGATCTCCATTTCTGATCAGGAAGTCAAATGTTTGTGACCCCAATGACAGTCTAAAATTCTGTAAATAAAAGCTGTATTTTGGCATGTGGCCACAGGAAACTTTGCTTTGCTTTCTTCAGAGATTTTTACTTGAGGTTGATAGGGAAAGCAAAGTAAGATGTTGCCAGCAGCATGTTACTTGTTCAGTGTTTCGGCCATGGGCCAGTGAAAGTTGGGGGTCATTGCTTTAGCCATTAGAAAAGAGAACTGGAAATTGTGCGATATTATTGTAGAGACTGGGGTTGGTGTTTCATTGTGCAAAGCACCTTACAAAGGCATAATAAGATGCAGCTCCTCCTGCCAAAAAAATAGGGTCCTAATAGGCAATGGAAGTGTTTATTGTTTTATATAGCTATGTAGCTGAGGCCAAAGTGACCTGCTCAAGTTGTATAGGTTGCTTCTGGCAAATACAAGATCTGAACCCAGATTTTTTCTTTACTCCCATTCTGCTGCCCCATTTGTGAGATGACCTTTTCTTTCTGTAGGAGGAGCCCTTTTTCCAGATTTGCCATTGACTTAACTGTGTGAACTCACTTAACCTTTGTCCCTCAGTCTGTTAGCCTTATTTATAATTAGTGTGATAGTAGTATTTATTTCACAGGAGATCAGTGAGGCTTAAGTCCTAGAGATGTTGGTGGGACTTCTTACGTGAGTCATTGCTCAGTGGCATAAGGGTTGTACAAACAAAACCAGGTGGTTCCAATCTGCTCCCACTGAAATCAGAGCCAAGACTTCCACTGACTTCAAAGGAAAAGGTTTGGGCCCAGAGTGTGTATTAAGCATGTATGGAAGTTACAGACTTGAGGGTGAAAATGATTTGTATGTGTCATGTCAGCACTTTTGTGACTTCTGAATGAAAGGCCAATGCTGAGATATGTTTTGCTGTCAGCATTGCTTAGACTTGGAGGGGTAATTATGTTAAAACTTGCTTATTGGTGAAATAAAAGCTCACATTTCAGAATATCATGGAACCAAATAGGTTTCTTTTCTCAATCCAGAAATAGATCAAAAATTAATTCAACAGAATCCATTGTCTCCATGTTATTCAGGGGTGGTGCTCCTAAGCAGTAAATATTTTTGAAGTGGTCAGAAAACAAGTGATTTGATTTTATTCCTTGTACAGTGTGTCAGTCTGCTAATGGGTTGGAACCACAGCACCGTGTTTCTTTATCTTCATTCTAGCAAGAAAATTTACTTCTTTCAATGTTTTGTCAATATTTATAAAAGCAATTTGACAGCAGTGTTGGAATTCAGCTGCCAGAACTGAGAGAGGAGGAGAGTTGGGCTGCTTTATTTTGTTCAGTATGATCTCTCATTAAGAGGCTCCTTCTTAAGATTCTTCTGTCTAGTCTGACTTCTCATCATAAGAGATGTGAAGACTCCTCAATGAATGATCAGGGCTTGACACTTACCACTCCTGGAAAATAGCCTTGTAATGAGTGTTCTGTTTTTACAATTTACTGTGAGCCAGAGAGAAGCGGCATTCACCTGCTACTTTATAGCTCTCCTGTTTTTAAATGGCTTACTTAGTCAAATAATTAACATGTTTTATTTTAATGCGTGTCAGGTTGTGGGCAGTGTTGCTCTTAGTTACATTTTTTTAACCCTTGAAAAAGCCTCCAGCTGTTTTGCTGTGTAGGTGAATCTGGCCTTGTGGCTCTACAAGGCTTTTTGTGTTAGGCTTTTTATATTATGTGAAAATTTATGGAAGCCTTGTAATGATGAAGCCCGATTGTCATTACAGATCTTGGTAAAAACACACACAGTATCCCATGGATTTACATTTCTTGTGGTTGTCTTTCTAAAAAGCAAAGCAACAACAAAAACACTAAGGATTTAATTTAAGTAGGTGAGATTAGCCAGAAAAATTTTATGGGAATTGGGTTACTTTTCCTCTTTAGAATGAAACTTGCTTTGTTTTTTCTAATTTGCATGGGTAGAAAAAAAGTGGCATAATATGGTACCACAGTATTAGTTTTGTAGAGAACTCATGATTTATCAACAGATAACCTAAATCATGTTCATTTTTTACATCTTACTTTATCTCAAAAGATAAGTTTCTGCTGCCTCGCCCAGACTGTCTCTTAGGATGGCACACTTCCCGGACACTCTGCAGGAAGACTTAAACTGTGTCACGCAGTCACTATAACACTGGAAAGTCTTTCCTGCCCTGCATTTTGCCTTCCAAAAAACAAAGTATTTTTTATTTAGGGGTATGTGGTATGCAAGAAAATATTGCAGTTGTTTCACAAAGTGATTTGATAAGGCCTGTGGTTGGAGTACTGTGTATAATTGCTAATTCATTGGATTGCAAAATCACACTGAATTGAAATGTTACTTCACAGCTGAAATCACTTATGGTGATAGGTGTTGATGTCAATAAAGACGCCCTCAACAAAGGAAGCTCAGTAGTAGGTTTTGTGGCTAGCACCAATTCCAGAATTACAAGGTAAGCCTTCAGTAACGCTGCTAATACTAATAAGTCTATACCCATGATTGTCTGCTTCAGAGAGGTGTTCTGTGGCTTATTTGAGACATGAATATTATATTTATATGATATTTTAAATTAAACTGGAATATGTAGACACTGGCAAATTGTATTAGTTGGCTGTGAATTATCATGTAGTTTCTCTATTAAGCCCACAAAGGAAAGAACAGACAAACTGAAGCCCTGATATCGTAGTATAAAAAATAAATATATATTGTCTGAATGAAATGGAGCTTCTCCTTAAATGGTAAGTTACAGGAAGAGAAGTCAAGATGGATGAAGGAAAAAAGGACCTGATCCTGCACTCTTGGTGCTCCCTGAAGGCTTTGATTTCACTGTTGGGGGGTTTGAGGATTCTAGGGAGCCCCAGTGCAATGATTCTGTACCTGATGCATGTCTTATAATGATCTTGTAAGTGTGCTAGGGGTTAAATACAAAGCAGCCAGAGAACCTTCACAGAAATCTCCTCCCTCTCATTCCCATTGCCAGCACCTCACCCTAGCAATGAAATAACCAGCCTTTGAGGAGCTGGGGGCCTCTGGATGGAGGGTCTGTACCCTTATCTGTATCAGTTAGGTGGAGGGGGTGTGCCCCTGTACGTGTCTCTGGGATCTGGCCTCTCAGATTTTGTGGGAATTGTGGAGATGGGAATCCCAGCTGCAGGCGAGGAGCATAGGTGTGTGTAGACAAAACGGGGCCCTAAATTGAAGCGGTAGGTTTTTAAAAACACCGCTTCAATTTAGGGCCAGTTAAACCCCTCTGTTGTGCACACACCTGACTTACCTGCCTCTCCGGCGGCGGGGAAGCGAGGGTGAGCTGGCAGCAGGCAGAGTGGTCCCTGAGCTGGGGGGTGGTGCTTTCCTCCGTGGCAGCGGTGGCTCCCCCCAGGCGGCACCCACCCACAGGTACCCGGCTTGGGCAGTCCCAGGGGGGCACTGCAGTCAGGGAGGGAAGTACGAGGCCTCCACACAGCTCAGGTAGCCTTTGGTAGTGGGGTGACTAGTAGTGGGGTGGGGATTAATGCTGGCATCACTCATGCCCCTGCACAGCAGAGACTCTGCACCTAGCAATTTGTCAGCTGGCCCCACTACCAAATTCCCAGTCTCCAACAGCCTTGCAAGCCAGGTGAAATGACTCTGTGGGCTGGATCCAGTCCGCAGACTGTATCTTTGACATTTCTACTCTAGTTAATTAGAATTAATTCAGGGCTAGTTCTGCAGTCTGTGTTTATGTAATTCTGGCTAGATTATCTGTGTGGTCACTCTGGCCTTAAAAGATATGAGTCTGAAATCTAAGGGCAGAATCCTGTTTCACTTTACACACCCAAATAACACTTACCAAGCTACTTAAATGACATTTGGGCCACTTACACAGTTAGCTATCTTATTTCACATACTGTGATGACATGGCTATTGTTTGTGCTTACCAGGCTGTGCTCTAGCAGGTTCATGTTTTATAAAAGACTAATCAGATTCCACAATACTCCTCTGAGGAAGATAAATAGGTAGCTCAGTTTGAGTACAGGACTGGGAACCAACACTATATTGAGATCTAATCCTGGTACTACATATGACCTCTTGTTAGTCTTGGGCAGTTTAGATACTCTTTGTCAGAGCGCTCTGATCTATGAAGTGGGTATCTATTTGACATGGGTGTTGTCACAATAAATTAGTTAATGTTTGTTCAAACCTTAAGTAGTATTGCAGATGGATAAAAAGACACTGAGAAATGAAGTGTCCACTGTAACCAGTGCAGAGTTGGGAATAGGGAGTATGAGAAAAATACAAACCACTATTTAAAAAGTATCCTGAAAAATATCTTGTTTGAGGAAGATACCAGCTGGCTTGAAATGGCTGTAATGATTTAATAGATAAAATGCTTGTTTTTTAACACTGAACCAGAGATTAGCACACTGTTAGAGGTTGCTTGCTGCTGAAGAGACATCTTTTGGATGAGATACCAAAAATAAAAAAATTCTGAATTAATACAGTGCTAGGGCAGGGGGTTGTTAATATAGTTTCAAGCCTGCAAATACTTGGAAAAATAGAATTATGACAGTTAATTGCAATGCTGCATATATTTTATGGCACAGATTCAGTAGTAGAACAAATGACTTCTGTGCATTCTCACATCTCTATAAAGCTAAATGCCATACTGGTTTATACAAGTGTATTTGTGTGCAAGTATTCAGTAACCCAGGCAGACTATTTTTTCAATCACAAGCATCTTCTCCTCCAACAATAATGCTAGATATTTTTAAACCATTGAAACCACTCGGCATTATTTATGAAGATCCGTGAGCTGTCTTTCAACAGCAGGATCATGTTTTCACAATCCAAACCCAGAAAGGCTTCCTCACAGAGGCCTGATGAGGATTTTAGAATGCCAATATGTAGGTCTTCAGCTGTAGTGAGGTGGTCAGTCAACCTCTTGGAGTGAAATGTTGTTAATGCTCCAACCACAGACATTTAATTTGATGCTGTGTAGTGCCTCTCTGCATATTGTTATTATTATAATAACAGCGATTTTCATTTATGTAGACTGGCCATCTGAGGATTTGAAAATGCCTCACAAGTAATAGTTGACTTACCTTGCAGCACATCTATGAAGGGAGTAAGCATTTTACTGAGGAGGAGAGAAGAACAAGAGATCAAATCCATGTTTTAAAAAATTGCCCATTTTTCAGATTCCTTAGTCTTCTGGATGCCCAACATAGAAGCCAGTTATCTGATTTTTTTGTTTGATCAGTTCAGTTTGTTTGGAGCACTTTAAAAGTCCCATGGAGTGTCAGCTCTCTAGAGGTCAAATGTCTGTCTACACAGTAGAAGAGAGTGCTGTGCAAATATACCTGAGCCAGCTCTGTGCTCCCTACCTTTCAAGCTGAAAGAAGCATAGTAATTTTTATGCAGTCCTATACCCAAGATAACAAGCCCTGCTTGCCTTGCACCATGTAGACTTCTCCCAGTTATGAAAAACATGGTTCATAAAGGCAAGGGAAAAGGATGGATCTGACTTGTCCTCCCTTATTACCCTGTATCTGGATTTCATATCCTCCTCAGGCCTCCACTGCTTTGAAAAGGTCCAGAGGATGCTTGTATGAGTTTGGAGAAGGCTAGCACTGCAGATGGCCAATAACACAAGAGACTAGAAGCCAAATTTTATTCTACCTATTAGGTACCTAAGTGGTTCTGGGGCATCCCACCTGTTTCCTTGGAAGACTATTAATGCAGCAAACGAATGCTCCTCCCTCCCCCCTACACACACTCAAGCTTACTTCTATTGGCTCCTGGCGCTGGCAAATGCTGGTAAAACCAGCATTGGGAGTGACTTGCAGGATGGTGAGGGCTTGCTTGGCTCAGGGAGGGCTGGTTGATCTGTGGGAAGCTTACCAGTCTGGGGGTGGAAGGAACGGTTAAGTGGGCACTAAAAATAGCCTGTTGCCCTGCAGGGGTAGGAAAAGTGCAGCCCTGGGGCTGGGACCAGCAGCTGGACTTTCTGAGCCCCAGAGCTGCACTGGGAACTGTACAGAAGTTCAGTTAGATTGGTCTCACCAGACCCGATCTGAATTAGACCACCTCAAAGGCAGGGTTAACTTTGATCGCGTCAGCTGTTTTAAGACTGATCTAACTGTCCTGAACTTCTGTACAGCTTGCATTTAGATCAACCTAGCCAGCGATCTAAGGACACCTGTATACATAACAGACCTCTGCTCCAATGTGTGCTAGTTAGCACATGTTGGTGCAGACTTGATTAATTGAGTCTGCTGTCACATGCTAATTAGCGGTTGCCAGCAGCCTCCACGTCACACATATTCAATGTCCCTGCATTTTAAAATGGAGGCAAGGGCGCTTTAACTAAAACTCATTGAAGGAACTTTAGTTAAAGTACCCCTGCCATCATTTTGAAACGCAGACCGCTGAATACACTAGGTGTTGTGGGTGCTTTAATTAGAGTGGCTCCCCCCTCTCCCCTGTAGTACGTGTATCGACACCTTAAGCCAGAATTTTCCAACCACCGGGCTGCAGCCTGGTACTGGGCCGTGAAGGGTTGGCTGCCAGGTCATGGCACAAGCCCCTCGCTCAGACCCCCATCTGTCTGCCTGGGCAAGCAGCTTTTGCTGCCAGTAGTCACATGTGGGGTTAGAGCTGGGAAGCAGGGCAGCCAACTCCATGCATCCCGTCCTGCTCCCATGCTGGTCCGCAGTATAAAAAGGTTGGGAACCACTGCTCTAAGCATAAGGTCTGCACCTGTGCAAACTAAGTTAGTTCAGGTGGCCATTTTTAATACAATCTAACCTCCTGGGACTTCTGTGTGTGCCCCCACAGTGACTTTCTCTTGAGGCTATTGCACCTGTTAAATCTGCCAAATCTTGTAATGATACAAGTGAGCTACATTGCTGTCATTTAATCCTGAATGAAACTCTTGCATCCACATAAGAGGCTTGAGATGTAACAGTTACATTCCTAACAACTTTGCCCAGTATCATTCTGTTGGGATGTAATTGTTGCATCTCTCCATTTTCACAGCTTCCTAGGAACCACTTAGAAACTTAATAGGTGGAACAGGATCTGGTCCTCAGGTTTAAAATAAAAGAGTGCCTAGAAAACACTGGTGGTGATTTAGCTGGCAACTTACTGCACCTCTTTCTTTTTAGATGGTCCTCTCGCTGCATCCTTCAGACAACAGGGAATGATATTGCAGATTGTTTAAAAGTCTGTATGAAAGGTATGATGCTGTGTATTTTTTGATACTACAAGGTGGTTTATAGGTTGATTCTCGGATATTTTTCAAAGTATTGTGCACATTACATAATCCCCTGTTTAAATGACTTTTAGAGGGCATAAAATTCAATATTGGAGAAACCCCTTAGATAAATTGTCTGGTCAGCTTTACAGCCAGAGGTGCAACATTATTACACAGATTGCTCTGTGGTTTGTAAATGGTTACACTCATTCATTCGTACTTTTAGTAGTAAATTAGGGCTTTGGCTTGTAATCCTTAGTGGTTCAAGTAGTGCTTATTGCTCTGTTGGGCAGTAAAGTTGATTTATTTGTAGTGTCAAGCCAACCAAGAATACTCTCTAAATTTAGAATTATGGCAGAAGGGCTTGACAAATTCTCTGCTACAGAGTGAGAATATTTTTTTTTTCCAGGAGTTTATCCGCAACATCTGCAGAATCTTAACTCTCATTTGAAAATAAAAAATATTCTAGCTCTTATGATTATGAATCAAAGTTCACAAAGAACCGAGCTGATCAATTCACTATTGAACCTAAGTATCCAGAGATGGTTTGGATGCTCTTCCCATTGTAAGGAGGAGGTGGGTATGTCTTCTGCCACTTTTAAGTCTGTCAAAGGTCAGTCATTACTCCTTGATGTACTATTGGGCCTTGTCAGACTTCTACACTACTGCCAAGAGGACACAGTTCTAAGTCTAGCAAAACGTTTTTCTCTTGGCCCTACATATATTTCTGTGTCTCTGCATCTCTCTCTTGCCTGCTCAGAGGGGCTGCTACAAATGGAGCACTAGCAAGGGGACTAGATAATGCTCAGCCTCTAGTGTCCTGGTTAGAGCCATGTGCTAGGAAGTCAGAGCAATCGCAGGTTCGACCCAACATGAGCACAGAACTCCATTTTTGGGAGCAGGATGGTCTCAAATACACTCTGTAGGAGAGCTCTCTGTTGCTGTGCTAGGCAAAGAAGCAACTGCTGTTGGTCTTTAAACTGGCTTCATATGCGCTTTGAGAGGAGCAGATGCAAGAGGAGGTCTCTGCATGAAAGTATCTTGCATTATTTGAACCAAGGAGTTGAGGTTTGACTGATGCAAGTGTAAAGAAGGTCCAGTTACATCAGAGTTGATGTAATTGCCACTTTCTTCATCGTATAAATTGCATAGACTTTTTCCATATTTCAGACTATGTATACCTTCTTCCACTGTCAACCTTAAATCTTTGGCTTTGGCGGTTGAAGATACAGGGCCTGATTCAAAACCTGTTTAAGCTGATGGCAGTATTTCCTTTGGGCGGATCTCTCAGTTTTCCTTCCAGTAGCCTTCAGGCATGTTCTCAGTTGTGCCTGAACTTTAAAATATCTCTAAGATGGATTTGTGTTTGTAACACATTGTGTATATGTGTGTAGTGTCAAAATACATATATGATGCTTTCCCTAACATCTTTCTAGCCGTTTCCACGTGCTTGCAACTAAGACTGTAGTTTTTCTTTTTCTGTACTTGGAATAAGAAAAAAGTTTTGTAACTTATGAACATTTGATGGAACTAACTGCATACAAAACATGGGAAACCACAATAGAAAGGTTTTATGTGACTCATTCAAATGAAGCTTGAATATATTTGCACTATAATAGCCTTAAAATCATACTCTTTGTATAATTTTTTTTAAAGTCTAAGTAAAACAAAAGTTCCTTAAAGTACATTCTGTACCATTGATAGCACATACCATGCAGTACCTTTTTTTTTAATCAGAGAAATTAGGTTGGGGAAAGATTTATTAGATCCTTTAGCCTCTGGCAGTAGAAGTGAGATTTGATCTTGAGTACTAGTCTTGTGTTGCATTGTTCTATGAAAAGTAAAGCCAAAAGTATGCGTATAGCATCCAAGAAAGAAAACAAGGCAGTTAAACTCAAACTAGGCAGGATAGAATTGAAACTTGATCAGTCTTTTTCTTACTGGTGTGGGTATTACATTAGGTGCTCTCAGCAAATGGCTCAAGCATAACCAAGAGTTACCTGCACGGATTATAGTATACCGTGGCGGTGTTGGGGATGGCCAGCTGAAGATGGTAGTGGATTATGAAGTTCCACAACTTCTTAGTAGCCTGACAGAACTTAGTACTAACTACAGGTAACTGAAATGTCTTTTCTCTCCACATTAGATTAGTCATAAATTTAATGTAAGTTTATCTGTTGTGCCATTTGCTGCAATGGGTGTGTGCATGTGCATGTGTGTGCAGGTATGTGTATACATACGATACACTATCAAATAATGTAACATGACATTGCCTTTTAACTTTCAAAATTAATGATCTGTTTAGATACCCAGGGTGTGTATACCCTTATTAACAACATTCTGAATGATCACAATGCCATTCATGTTGTCTGCCTCTGTTTGTACTCATCCTTTTATGATCAGGAAAGATGTAATATGCAGGCACTTCTCATAGCTCTCCTTTTTTGCTTCAAGACCCAAAGTATCAGTCGTCGTGGTCAGGAAGAAATGTATTGCTCGATTCTTTGCTGAGGCAGATGGAAGTTTGAGGAACCCACCAATTGGTACAGTTGTTGACACAGAGGCTACTCGTCCTGAATGGCAAGTATATACTTGAGTCAGTCCAAAAGGACATCCTGCTGTCTTCATAGAGCACAATTTAGATAATCAAATTAAAGGAGTGCAGTCTTGTTAAGTAAGTATCTTCCAAAAGTTCAGATTAGAAAAGTATTTGAAAGGCACCTGGGAAAACTTGTTCAACCCCCTGCCAACTCTCTAAATGTGTGGTATAATGTAATTGAAGAAGCAAGCATAATAGGTTTTTCAGACCTACTTGTGAATCCCTGTCTCAACTGAATTAAAAGTACAGAGCTGTTAAAAGTCAAATATATGCTGTTCTCAAATGATTGTGACTAACCAAATTGGAAAAAAGATGCATAAAAGTTGGTATTAATATTTTATTACTTAAAAGTAAAGACTTTTCATTAAAGTATGCAAAGCAACATATATGCCCATCTAATCCATGTATGTTTACCTTTTTTTTGAAAGGGTGAGGTAGTTGGCCCTTTTTAAATGAGTAAATCTTCAAGGTGCCACTTTGCCACACCTTTATTTTAAAAGGTCATTTCTAACAAATCTCAAGAAATAGACAATATATACCCTTACAATCACTTATATTCTTATATCTCATACAGGTCTGATTCACCAGTGTCTAACTCCACTTTTACATTGTAAACATACTAATTTTAGTTGGGTCACAGTGGAGTGAAATGAGTAAGGTATTTGAAATCCAGATGTGTAGTACTTATGAGTGGCCTAAGAAGCTGCACTATTGCATACAATGGCCTCAGAAGTTTCTCCAGGAAAAGACTGTGTGTTGTGATGTTCATTTGAACCCACTCCTAACATTTCAGCACAGATCTTGAAGCTGAGCATAAATGCTCATTTACATTACCTAAGCAGGTTTAAGAGGTCTCGGAGTGGGCACAGGCAATAATACTACCCTTAATGCTGTCAGGCTGGTGTAAAGCAGCCTTAGAGATAATGAGCTCTAGCCCACATACCCTTTTTCTAATTGCATACTAGTTCTGCATCAAGGGAAATCAAAAGGCTTCAGTCAAGTTACTCCCAAGTTTACCCCAGTAAAAGTTCCCCAAATAGCAACCAATAAAAACCCTACTTTGCTTTCACATAATGGTTTGTCTTCACCAGTATTGCTTATAAAATACACATTATTTCAAAGCTTATATGTACACCCAAAGACAGGATATTTTTTCAATGATGACTGTATTTTTTAGGTATGACTTTTATCTGGTCAGCCAACTAGTACATCAGGGGACTGTCAATCCCACACACTACAATGTTGTGTATGATGACAGTGGGTTGAAGCCAGACCACATGCAGCGACTCACATACAAGATGTGTCACCTGTACTACAACTGGCCAGTAAGTAAAATAATGCTGTGCAGAAGTCATTAAATCCATATGATTTTTCCATCTGGTTTAAAGCAGAAGACAAAATAATTCCTGGTTTCAAATGGGATGACTCAATACTACCCTAATATACATGTCTGAGTACTTTTGTTACCTATAGTAGGGTTGCTCAACCCAAGCCCACTGGCCAGATCTGGCCCCCAGTGTTGTGCAGTCATGCCTGTGGGGCTGTGGAACTACATGCTAGATTGGGTGCACAGGGTGAAGTGGCTCCTGATCTCAGCATATGGGGCCTGATCTGGCCTGTGGATTGGTCCTGTGCCACTCAAGTGGCTCATAGGGCCAAAAGATTGAGTGCCGCTGCTCCTATAGTGTTTATCTACAGCTCTCTTTCCAGTCTATGCTGATGCAGTTATGGTTGGGAGGAGCAGTTCTTCTGGCTGAGAGCTGGTCTGTGATATGTATAAGAGTTAGACTTCTGTTTGTTAGTCACCAAAACCTTTCAGAAATTGCTGAAACACTGGCAAATGTGTTTGTTGCTAATATAAAGGTATCTGTGTCTTAATTGTTGGATTGTTGGCACCTTTGCTGGCATCTAGAGTAGAGGGCCTAAGGTTGATTTGGCATAGAGCCTTTGGCTACTCTAGAAGTGGTCCATCAATGTCAAGATTGACACACAATTCTGGGAAGCTTACTGTGTGCATTGTCTTTGCAACACAACATAGCCTGTAAAAAGAAATAAAGAAAAAAAAATTCATTTAACTGTAAAGACCCTCCTGCGCACTCCAGTGAAAAAACCAGTTACAAACGTTCAGAGAAACCATTACAAATGTTCAGAGATTTGATCTGTAGTTTCCTGAAAAGAGATATAAATGAAAAAGGCATTTTTAAGTGTAATCTGCATTCAGCAGTAACACATTTTTTTCAGGTTTTTAAAAAACATTTAACATTGGAAGCTATTTCTAGACCAAAGATCATACTAAAGAAATTAAAATCTCTGCTAACCATACTTGTATAACTTTAATAACATGATCAAACACATGTAGGGCATCACACTTTTATTTCTCACGGTTGTGTACGCCCCTTCCCTGGCCAGATATAAAGTAAACTTGAGACTGTAATAGGAATTTTGGAACAGCTTCCAAAGTTGTATAAAACTGATGCCCAGCCCTGGCTCTGAGGCTTTATTTTCATGAGATAAGTAGACACAGCTTGTTCATTTCAGTCCCTCTGTCTGATATTGTAATTTCTTGCTCTCTCTTACAGCAGTGAGGAGAAAGTGGGCACGTAACCCTTAACTACTCTCCAGTAACCTATCTTTAAATCTGCAGTGATCTAGATATACACTATTGAAAATGAGAGCAGAATTTGGACCCATACTATGTAGTACAGGCATTACTAAATATATGTTTTTGTTTAACTGCAAGTTTACTGATTTTTCTTTTCAGTCCTTTAAGAGTGTAAATAGCTAATCTTCTGGAATGAAATATTAGCTTTTGGGAAACTATCTTTAGATCTGAAACCCAATTCTGTTACTTCATTTTTACTTAGGAAATTTTCCATTGCAGTCACTAAAAATCTCATTTGACTCACGATAGAGAGAGGTTATGAGGATCTGGCCCAGAATATTTGATATGTGGCAGTGTCAACATTCGAAGGTGCTAAAATGCAGTATGTGTAGAAGAGTGAAGGAAAGTCTCCATGAAATGGGGGAGAGGAGAGGCGGGAGTGGGGGTGGGCAAAACAGGACTCCTGACTGGAGCAGATCCCACCTGACTTGGCCTTTTCACAGTGGAACCTATCCTTCATCTCAGCTTGTGCTTCCAGCACAATTTACCTTCCCCCTTTACCTGTTTTTGACAACTCTGGGAGAAGAACAGTGGAATCATATAGGAAGCTAACCATGAGGTTTGATGGAAACAGAGACATCCGCTCAATAAAGCAGCAGCAATGAGTGAGTAGTAAATAGGAAGTAGGAAAGACTTGTGTATCACTGTGTGATGCTTAACTCGGCCACTGTAGGGGAAGACTGCTGGGAAGAGGAGGCACTCTTTGAAAGGAAGAATATACTTAATACCTTCTGTTGGTGAAGGAGTGTGGAAAGAGGAGAGATGAAGGTGTGAGTGCTTCAACCTATATTTGAGAAGTTTAGGTACAGTTGCAGCCTAACAAGGAGGGGCAAGCATCCTCCTTGTCCACTAATATATACAATACAACCCATGAATAAAGGGGACTGTGCTTTCATTGTGTAGTAGAGTCCTCTACTTGAATTTCATCACAACAGATTTTGGGTGATTCATATGTGCCAGTGGCTGGGAGGGGGATGCTGGGATTATGTGTCCTTGAAACATTAGGAATAGTTCTTTCTCAGAAGAAAGCAGCAATACAGGCTGGAGAATGTCTTTCTGACCTTTTTCCCAATGTTTGTTTCATAGGGTCTAATCAGAGTGCCAGTACCCTGTCAGTATGCCCACAAGCTGACCTTCCTCGTGGGACAGAGTCTTCACAGACAGCCAAGCCTGGAGCTGGCTGAAAAACTTTTTTATCTATGAAGGGAATAACATTATATTGCAAAGTTCCTTTCAAAACTGTCCAAACATTTACGTAGTCTGGGCCCCTTTTTTTAGGAAAACAATTTTTTTAGGTTTAACACAAAAGAACAAGCTGCTCTCTGCAGTAAGAGAACAGAGCATTCAGAGCACCCAGAGCAAGGGTAAGCAGTTAGGATAAAGGAGTAAGGTGTAGTACTCCATTTAGCACCAATAGAAGTCTTAGTAACTCCTTAGTAATACCTGAGATACTTTTTCATTCACAGAATCGTGTAGATGTTTGTAGAAGGTTGAAATTATTTCTAAGAAATAAAGTTTTAATGTTTGCATCATAAGCTTGTTTCTTATATTTAATATGAACTGATAATTATTCAGAATGCACTGTATTGTCTTCTAGGTTGTCTGCCATTAACAGACAGTCTTGATATTTGAAAAATAGGCATTGTGCAATTGTTTTGTAAAATGAACACTAATTACAATATAGATTCATAGATGTTAGGGTCGGAAGGGACCTCTATAGATCATCGAGTCCGACCCCCTGCATAAGCAGGAAAGAGCGCTGGGTCTAGATGACCCCAGCTAGATACTCATCTAACCTCCTCTTGAAGACCCCCAGGGTAGGGGAGAGCACCACCTCCCTTGGGAGCCCGTTCCAGACCCTGGCCACTCTAACTGTGAAGAAGTTCTTCCTAATGTCCAATCTAAATCTGCTCTCTGCTAGCTTGTGGCCATTATTTCTTGTAACCCCCAGGGGCGCCTTGGTGAATAAATACTCACCAATTCCCTTCTGTGCCCCCGTGATGAACTTATAGGCAGCCACAAGGTCGCCTCTCCTCCTTCTCTTGCGGAGGCTGAATAGATCCAGTTTCTCTAGTCTCTCCTCGTAGGGCTTGGTCTGAAGGCCCTTAACCATACGAGTGGCCCTTCTCTGAACCCTCTCCAGGTTATCCGCATCCCTCTTGAAGTGTGGCGCCCAGAATTGCACGCAGTACTCCAACTGCGGTCTGACCAGCGCCCGATAGAGGGGAAGTATCACCTCCTTGGACCTATTCGTCATGCATCTGCTGATGCACGATAAAGTGCCATTGGCTTTTTTGATGGCTTTGTCACACTGCCGACTCATGTTCATCTTGGAGTCCACTAGGACTCCAAGATCCCTTTCCACTTCCGTGCCACCCAGCAGGTCATTCCCTAGGCTGTAGGTGTGCTGGACATTTTTCCTCCCTAGGTGCAGCACTTTGCATTTCTCCTTGTTGAATTGCATTCTGTTGTTTTCTGCCCACTTGTCCAACCTGTCCAGGTCTGCTTGCAGCTGTTCCCTGCCCTCCGGTGTGTCCACATCTCCCCATAGCTTTGTGTCATCTGCAAACTTGGACAGAGTACATTTCACTCCCTCGTCCAAGTCACTGATGAAGACATTAAAGAGTATCGGTCCAAGGACCGAACCCTGCGGGACCCCACTTCCCACACCCTTCCAGGTCAAAACTGACCCAACCACCACGACTCTCTGGGTGCGACCCTCTAGCCAATTCGCCACCCACCGGACTGTGTAGTCGTCCAAGTCACAGCCTCTTAACTTGTTCACCAGTATGGGGTGGGATACCGTATCGAAGGCCTTCCTGAAGTCTAAGTATATGACATATAGTACTGTAGGACCAGATACATGCAATAAAACATACATTAGCTGGGAACTGTTATTCTTTTAAAAAATTGCTTTAGTTTACACAGTCTAGAAGAATTACGATGTGTTTTTAAATCTTAAGAAACAGTATAGGCATCTCACTGCAGTAATCAGGCAGTGAACTAAAGGTCCTAAAAACAATCAGGTCCCATACTTTCAATAGGAGTATTTTGTGGATTCCCTATTTCATAGGTCAAATAGTTTGAGGCTGCCACTCTGAACAGTTAATTTAGGGACCACTTGGGCAGGACCAGGGGAGAGAGTATAATTCAGTCCTTTTCTCTCTCTGCTGATTTTACATAAGGTGGAAAACTGGGTTCATATCTGATGTTCTGTTAGATGTGTTACACATGCCTTGTGCAACTTTTTGTTCTTTACCACAAGGAGGGGTACGCAAGAGTAGTGCACTGCATAAAGATGGCGAGGGTTTGATTTAAAAGACTAGCACTTAAGAATCTCACGCTTACTTTTAAACATTAAGAAAACTTTCTACAAATCAGTTGTCCTGAAAGACTAGTCTGCTATGACCTACACAGGAAACAATTAAACCTTCCTCTTTAATTTGGGAGAAGGAACCATTTAATTTATTTAAATTTAATTTACATTTAAATTTAATTTAAGTCTTTATTTTGGGAAGAGGAATTCTGAAGGACCAGAGTCAAGGGGAAATAACGTGTAGGTTTTTTGTCCCTTATTACATTATCTTCTGAAGGCAAAAGCCACAGCAGTCCTTCTCATCATGTATACTGCCTTCTCCCCTCCATCCACTGTCTTAGCTCTGGGCCTGTGTAAGAGGAAGGAAGTAAAGGGATTCTGTTCTAGGGGACAGATGACTAGAAGTTGGGTTTTGAAGTGCCTGCTTCATAAGTGCCTAAATCATTTAATAGGTCCCTAAATATTAGGCACTACTGTCATGCTTAAAGCTAAGCATATGTCTAATTACTTCTCAAGATAGAGTCTGCCAGGGTTGTTTTTGACAACAGTGTTTCATCATGCAGTAAATTGAGCAATAAGAGGAAAAGTTCAAAAGCAACTTTTTTTTACCAGAAAATGTATGTAAGGCAATTAGTTGCTCAGAATGGGTTTCAGCTCTAAATTTAATTTATCCAATATTCCTTGAATTATATATAAATTTAACATTTATTCTTTGGCAGTTTATAGTTTTTGAAAAGGTCGTGTTTCACTTCCTATTAGAATATGCCATCTTGACTTTCTGCTCATGTTCTTTTTTTGCATACGTGAGCTGCTTTGGGTATAACCCTTATTACTTCCAAAAGTATCTTGTATACTCACAGTTTTATATGAAATAATTTCTTTTGAACAACTCAGAGTAAAATGAATGGTGGTTAGGTGTCTTAGTCTGATGTCAGGCAAAAGGTAGAGCAGGGTGGCACCATTTAGGCTCTTAAGAGTGCCTGTAGATAGGCAGGACGCACGTTCGGACATGCTGAAATTACAGCATGTGAGAGCAGACCCAATTAATTGAGTCAGCTGGAGCATACTAATCAGTAGCCAGCAGCCTCCTCATCTTGTGTATTCAGTGTCCCCATGCTTCAAAATGGTGGTGGGGGAACTTTAACTAAAGCTCATCAAACGAGCTTCAGTTAAAGTACCCCTCACGCCACCTTGAAGCGTGGGACGCTGAATACACAAGACACTGTGGGAACTTTAATTAGAATAGATCCTGAGAGCCACTCTAAAGTGCCCCCCTCACACCTGGAGCACATGTAAAGATGCCTTAAGGTGTTACCCTACCTCCTGTCAGAATAAAGTAAGTCCTGTAATAGCTAGCGAGCCCCAGATTCCCAAGAACTGTCTGAGTTTTCCTGAAACTATAGAACCTAACACAGATCAGGTAAATAAAGACAAAGGTATGGTCTAAATGGAATTTGCATCTTTTTAAATGTGTTGGGTTTTGCCCTGATATACTTACAGCGAATATAAAAACTAAGAAAATACTCTGAGGAAGAAAGGAGCTGCTAAAAGTCCTACTACGTTGAAACACCTCAATAAAATCTATAGGATAACTGAAGCATCATTAAGCAGTGCTTCATTCTGCAAGCAAGGCTTACCAGCAAAAAAAAAAAAAAAAAAAAAAACAAAAAAAAAAAAAAAAAAAAAAGAGAAGAGAGAACTTCATTTCTGAAAATAGCTGGTTTTGGACAGTGTTGCAACAGAGGATGTACTATCAGTCTGAAAGCAAATGGACCATTTACAAACTTAGGCACAGGTGCGCAAGGCTGTGTGGTACCAGAAACTGTCGTGTTAGCACTGAAGGGAAAGCCACAGGCAGTAGAAAGTATATGGGTGAAACTCAGAGTTTTCAGTGCCGAGTTTATCCCTGTGTAAGGGAATCTGTGAACTCACTGTATGAGTTAGAGCTTTGAAAATGCTCCAGGAAAGAAAGGTGCCCCTTATTGGATTATAAACTGGGTCCTGCCTTTGGTCTTATCAGCACGTGCATTCATTGACACAGTTAATGATATCAGTACAATAAGCAAAGTAGGAAGTTAGAAACTACTGGAAGAGCCCAACTGATCTCATAATTCAAAATAAGGTTCCTCTCACCCTAAAGCAGAGGATAGAGAATGAGCTTCAAGTGTAGTTTATTTTGTTCCTGGTATTATGTGGTGTTCAGTTATCACTCAGACTCAAGGCATCTGTTTCATTTAGTGTTTACATTCTAACTGTTCTGCACTGTGCAACGTGAGGACCTGGAAAACATAGCATGTGGTTCCAACTGACTCCTGCAAGAGCTTCTCAAAGGTAAAGTTCCCACCACCTGGCATGAGACAAAGCATGTTACTCCTTTGTTTGCTATGGTGTTGGTTGTTGTAGGGGGGGAAAGGATTTAATGGGCTTAAATGCAGACCCAAAAGAATTACATGAATAAAAATAAAACTTTTCCTATTACCTATAAAAGAGGCAATTTTGGGAGAGATTCCTGGAGCCTAATATTTGTTTTACACTTGATGTGACAAAGTTCCAGTAGGTGCCCTCATGGGCCAGCTCCTCAAATAATCCATTTCTAAGCACTTGGAGGAAAAGAAAGTGATCAGGAACAGTCAGCATGGATGCATCAAGGGCAAGTCACGCCTGGCCAACCTGATTGTCTTCTATGATGAGATGACTGGCTCTGTGGATGCAGGGAAAGCAGTAGACGTGATATACCTTGACTTTAGCAAGGCTTTCGATACCATCTCCCACAGCATTCTTGAAAGCAAACTGAGGAAGTGTGGGTGGATAGAAAGCTGGCTGGATTATCGGGTTCAACTTGTAGTGATCAATGTCTCGGTATCTAATTGGAAGCTAGGATCAAGTGGAGCGCCCTGGGGCTTGGTTCTGGGGTCGGTTTTGGTCGATATCTTCATTAACAATTTTTAAGATGGAGTAGAGTGCAACCTAAGCAAGTTTGCTGATGACACCAAGGTGGGAAGGTGTAGTAGATATGCTGGAAGGTAGTGCTAGGATTCAGAGTGATTTAGACAAATTGGAGGACAGTCAAAAGAAATCTCATGAGGTTCAACAAGGATAAGTGGAAAGTCCTGCACTTAGGATGAAAGAATACCGTGCACCAGTACAGTCTTGGGATCAACTGGCTAAGGAGCAGAAAGGACGTGGGGGGTACAGTGGACAATAAA